CGCAGATTGAGCTTACAGAATTACACATGAGCGCTGCAACCATCAAGGGTTAGCAGCAAATCCTGGTTGTTAGTAGGATGGCGTTTCGTATCACGAATAAAACGCTTCATCCATTCGTGTAGAATTGGGGTGTCAGCTCTTTGGCATTCTCTATAATGTAGATAACAACCCATGGAAACGCAGTGAAAAATGTGCTGTGTGCCATTAACCTTGCAATAATGTTCGTGTCTACCCCGAAAAACGGCGACAGGCTGTAGGCAGGCCCACTTGCCGACATCACAGGCCTTATCGTCACACGGTTCAGGTCACCATTTGTTCGAATCGTCTTCGGAATAGCAGCGCCCCCTTCGATGCAACGCCTTCGCGAAGGGCTCTGCCGACCGTCTTGTCAAAAGATGATCCAGGATGGTCCGTTTGGGTTACAAAATTTGGACCCCGAATGTTGTAGCTATCCATCGCTGCTTGCAATCGAATCATGTGGTCCGAAACAGCATCGGGTTTAATATCCTCAACCCACTTGTCCTCCGTTTGCCTAACAGAGTGATATGCTTGACTATTGGGATGCATGAAATAGTCCACCATGTAGTATCACCGCCAAGATTTGTAATTTGTACAGTACCCCACGCTGCGGGTTCGTCACAGGCGGACGGACTACACGTGTGCCTTACAGATGGACGAACTACACATGGTCATTATAGGCGGACGAGCTACTGTATGCATTACAGCCCAGATGTTGTATATGACAAGGTACAGTAGTAATAGCATAGTACAGTTCATTGCATAGTGCATATAACTTTCGCACGACCCATTTATCTCTTCCTATTTTTTGACCATTTTCGGGTGGCGTGCTACAACAAGCCTCTAGCCATTAGCGGTACTGACATCTGTCCCTCTCATTCCATCCAGGAGTTTACGCTCTTCGGGGCTCCGCCCGTTTCTGACACCAGTCTCTAGGCTCGGGTTCCCCCTGTTTGGTGTGTTCGTTCACAACACCTTCCAGTGCTGGTCCCATTCCAGGTCCGCACCTTGACCAGAAAGTCATGATTTTGAAGTCGGCCGACGTACTTCCCCTCTGCTTTTCCACCGTACCAATCCACAGCGAAACACCCCTCACTAGTTATCACCCCTTCCCCTAGATGGCCCCTACCTGACGACCGCCACTATACTATACACCTAACATTTGCATGGCCGATTGTCTCGATATGATGTGCCATTGCTACAATGTTGGTAACAGGTTAATATAACCCTCAACCAAATCTATCACGCCTTGCTTTGTAAACGGTGTGTTGTTATGGAAAAAGTGGCACACCGCGTCTGCAAAAATTCAGTTATTACCCCGGAGCTTCTGAGAATGGGCGGCCAGACGAAACACGCACTAAAAATATCGCTTGCGTGTTGAGGTTGCGACTCTGGAGCACTTTATATATCTACTTTTGGACAGCCGTTCGAATTTTTCTGTTAGGAAGCCCTTGTTTGTCCTCTAAAGACTGCCAGATGGCATGAGAAGATGCAAAGCGTTCGAAACTTTCGTCTCGAAGACGATCATCTGCCATGGCGGTGCATGCTACAGAGCACAACTCAAGACACTTGATCGCCGCCCAATTTCAGTTTTTGTGCTTCACGCATATCATGAGATCAAAAGTGTCGCGGAATTGAAACCAGAGAAAGCCCGCTCTGGTGGGTGGGATTTGTTTGGCGGGAAGGGGTTGCGCTTTCGGTAAGACGGGGGAATCTTTGGCGCGGATTGTCATTTGCGGAACGGTGACGAAGGGATGCCCAAGACCCTGAAAACCGTTTGTTTAAGTATGTATTTTTGTGAAATTATATGCCCAACTGTCACTGATATTGTACCGAACCACTAGAGCCCAACCGCGAGTGATGATGAAATGCGCAAAAACAAATAAAAATAATAGTATCTGTCAGTAGATGCGCACGTACAGCAGAAAACCAGTTTGCGCGCACCAAATTCATATATACACAGTAAAATCGTAATTCACTATGAAATGCGCAGTACAGCACCTTCACCGCATTTACTGATTAAAATCAAAGAGAACACAATGCATTACCCGTACAGTACTCAAAAAACCACGTAAATGGAAGGAGATGCGCACGTAACACCTCCCTACTCCGTGTCACTGTCATCAAACAGTGCACGACGCGTGCCACTAGACATGCGAACGCGGCGATTTTCTGTGTTTTCAACGTGTACACGGCGCCTCTTTCGCATCTGACTAGTTGATATGGCCCGTAGGCGATTCCGTACACCAGTGCTGTGCTGCCCGTCCTCGAAGCGGAGAGGGCGGGCCCTGACACTCAGATTGATCAACGCCAGGCAGGCTTTGAACACGTGCTCGTACAATCCCTCTCCCCAGCGCCACTTGTGAGAAAGTACAGTCCATAAACTGCACATTCTACCAAAGTAGTTTTCTACTATGACGCGATTAGAAGATACTTGGCGATTGTAGTCCACGTCTTCCAGTGACAGCGTTGAACGTCGTGCGGGGTTCACACCGGGTGCGCTACACGTAGATCTTCGGCTGCACCTTGATATCCCTTGTCCGCCAGTATGGCCCAGTAGTCATCCATAATTCGCTCAATCGTCCCTCATCCGTAAACTGCAAATCACGTCCCTTTTTAGATGCCTCCTCATGAAAGGGTATATTACGACGAAATCTCTACAGATCCGACACGGAGCCCGGATAGTGCTCCGTGCACCCAATAGCGAGACCAGTAGGCAGTACCGAGAATTCCACTTTGTACCCATACAGCTTATGCTTACCGGAGAAGTATCGCTTCCCTTCTGATATATTTCCACTTGGACGAATGCTCTTCTGAAAAGTGACGTCGACAGCATATCTCGCGTATTCAAAATTCGAAAACACCCGGTCCTCTAGACGACACTTGGCCATTGTCCATTTTTCTTCGACGCGTGCCACACATATATCATACATGTATTCTGATATCATACGTAAAAATCCAGTTATTACACGTTCGAAAGTAGAACATTTAACAGAAAATAGACGAGCTGTAAAGTTCCATTGCTGACCATGCTTGAGTACAGTAAGTGTCATAAAGAGAACATCCTGGGCCTTGTACTGTGTTCTTTTACCTCTGCCAACATCCCAATTCTTTGACACGTAGTCTTCAATCATAACCCATAGTTCGAAGAATTGAGAGGAATCAAAATTACACATTGCCTTAATAGATTGAGAACCTCTGTCATTGTAAAACGTGTCATACATTGAACAATTGGAGTCGTTCTCATCATCGCTGGCGATCACGTCGTCATCAATGTGATCGACGACTTCATTGACGTGTCGGTTGGTGATGTCCGAAAGAGCCTGAACAGTGCGGGAGGGATTCATTTTTGAAATTGTAAAAGGAGTGGGAGAAATGAGGAGCAGCTGCAAGAAGTGGTTTTTCTATATCAACTGCGCAGTAGTTCCATTTTATAGTGTTTAGGTTGAGTAGACTGAAACTGCGAGGCATATCTCACAAAAAGGCGGGCTTTCCCGTTTTTGAAAGTGGACTCGCAATTGAAGATATGATGCACAACTTGTGCTATAATCTGCGTTGCTGTATTATTTGCACATTTAGTTTACTTTTCTACTGATATTTGCCAAACTCAAAGTGCTTTCACGCAACTGCAATACTTGAGGTACTGTACGTAGTTACCCTACTACATGCAGAATTGTTGACAGTATGAAACAAATCATACAGTGTATGTGTATGACTACCGTATGTACGAAATACTCAGTACACTACAGTCTTGTACTTTATGAGTAACTTGGGCGGACGTATAGGACAAGGAGAAACACGTGGCAGGGAATGGTTCGATTGCGCCAAACATGGGAATAGCACTGGCGTACGGAGTTTTGATTCGTTTCGATTTTGTTTCTCAACTCTTGGCTTGGATTCATGCCTGCTGTATGCGTCCGGCTGCGGTTTTGTCCTTGCTGCTATGCATGATGCACATTTTCTTTTTCATCTCCTATCGGCTCCGTTGCTATGATAGAAGTAATTTTGAGAGAGGTATCAGAGGGATCCCTTTCATCTTTTAGACGCCTCAGGAGGCAGGCGTCCACACCATCCCATCTTAAGGGGCGCATGTGTGGGATCCGCAGTTGCCCAATGAGGGTTTCCAACCATGAAATCACAGACGGTAATAAACCCCTCTTCTATTTAAAACTTTAGCATTGGCGCGGGAGCTTGCATCGGCTCACCTCACACACCCATTTGCTCACGGTCGTCGTCCGGAAAGGCCCGCAGCTTTCTAGAACCAGCGATTTCAGCTGAACCTCCCCGCCGGCATTCAGATAGGGATGTGCTGTACAACTTTGCATCACGGAAAAGAAAAAAAAACGCCCGAAGTTTTAGAACAGCCTTCAAAGACGGATTTGTCAGTTTTATCTTGCTGTTGTTGTGGCCGCATGCTTCTCCTCTCAATGCCACCATGGCACATCCTTGTTGCACACCAAGCTGACCATTCAAAGCCGCTGATCACCATGCACTAGTACTACAAGATCCGAGCCCGCCGCATTGTAGTGTCGCAAAAACCTTCAAGATAAGAAGTGCATCACATTGCAGTCGCATGCTCTTGCCCCATCCGTATAAAACAATGATCCTCACTGGATACAACTGCAGTAAATAGCCACCAATGTTTCCACTGCCACCCCAAGTTATGACCTAAACTCACCGAATTGCGTTTAAGGCATGTGCTTACCCTGCTGACATATAGCAAAGCACTAGATCACACCTGTGTTCCACATATCTCGCCTCATCTACTGATGTATACTGTATCCACTTCGCTCTTCCTCACGTCCACAGTTCAGACTGTCCCAGTATGACTTGGCCCATGTATCTCTCGTCTATAGAAAATGTCGCGTGACTGAAGTTGCTCCGTGTAGGGCAGCACACATCCCACCTGTTTTCAAAATTGCATTGCTGCTATAACAGCAAATTTCCGCGCCATATGTAGTACAATTCTCTGCGCCATCATATGAATCAATTTCCCTCGACCAAGGTTCGGTTGTTTACGGCAACTATTCCAGCTACTCGGAGACATGTCTTCCCTAGCGCTCACGCGAGCTAAAAGATAATACGAACTGAAAACATGCCTCAGTTCGCATTGTGTTTGACAAGCTTTGACAACCGTCATGAGCCCTTTCTTTTCTTTGCCACCTGGGTTAAAAGTTAATGGCTACAGTACCTACTGTCATAAATTGCAATGACTGGGGAACCCAAACCAAAACCTATGCATTCACTTTGTGAATCACGCTCACGTGTCTGTGCAAATGGCTCTTCTTCTTGAACGTGGAGGTACATCTTTTGCATTCGTACGGGCGATCGTCGGTGTGCTTCATGCGCTGATGCTCTTTCAGTCCGTTTCGAAATGGAAAGGTTGCCTCGCACTGGTCGCAGAAGAAATTGCGTTCACGGCGATGGATGCTTCGTACATGCTTGTTCAGGTTTCCCTTCTGCAAGAGACAGAACATGTTAGATGATACGTTAGAAAAACAGCTGCCATGAAAAAAGTGACTGTGACAACAGAGGAACTCGTATTGCCAAACCTACCTCCCCAAAAGAGAGCTTGCATTCCTGGCAATGAAAGTCTCGTGCCTTCTCGTGGACAGTTTTCTTGTGCTTTCTCACGTCGGCACGCTGAGTGAAACTACGTAACAAAAGGGTATCATCTTGGAAGTTAGAAGTGATTCGCAAGGGCAAAGGCGAAAACGCTGCGGGGGGCAAAGGCGAAAACGCTGCGGGGGGCAAAGGCGAAAAATCGCGGGGATACTTTGAAATGTAGACGAACTTTTTCATGCATAGCTCACAGTTATAGCCATTCATCCTTGAGTGTTGCATGTCCCTATTAGAATCATTGAGAAGAGTGTGAATAGCCATCCTGTGGTTGCCAGAGGAGTCTGTAATAGCCATCTTTGCGATGCGGTCTAACGGTGAGCTGGATGCTGAGCTTGAGGCACGCGAAGACTTAGAGAATGAGGATTTGTGAGAAGCGTGAGACTGGGAGGAGTGAGTTGAAGGTTCCTTTGCTGAGCGACCTTTTGAAATTCCGGCAGCAGCGCTTCCCCCGATCATTCTTTTATAGACAAAGTTTGCGGTGCCAACACGCGAAACAAATGCGGCGTGTACGTGTGAGTGTAGACAAGGACAGAGGTGCCAAAAAAAGTAGAGAAAACCGGGGTTGAGAAGGGAAATAGTAGATGCAGTCAAGATAGGAAGGCGAGATGCGTTCTGCAAAGTTTCAGTGCGCGTCAAACAGTCGTGTGGCACGTATGGATGACACAAAGTGTGGAAGAGAAAGGGAACTCGTACTCTTTGTGTGCGAAAAGTCCACAAAGTGAGGAAGGAGCGCTGGTTGCATTCCGGTTGGGTACATTTATGCTGGCATGCTTGAAGAGATGGATCAGATTGGGATTGAGAATTGCAGTGGTGTGTTTGGATTGTGTGTAAGTACGTGTGTGTCAGTCCACTACCAAGTCTAGTGCTTTTTCGGAGGTCCACTTCAGGGCCAAAGCCAAGCAGATGCAGGAAGTAATGATGAATGCAGTCAGGGGAGGGGCAGAAGGAATGGGGGTAGGGAGTTGTTGGTTATTTTCATTGTGGGGCTTGGGGTGGAGATTGTTGTGGGACAAAATAGATACGGGAGGGACGCAGAGGGAGGGACGCAGAGACAGTGGGATGGATTTCGACTGGATATGAACAGAGCAGCAAGGCTGGAAAGGCAATGCACGACCATTTCAAGTTTAAGCAAGTGATCATGGTATGAGAAACCGATGGGAGAAAGCGCAGGTAAGTCAGAAATGGGACGGCAGGGAAGGATGAAAGTTGTGGGCGTGGCTGATGAGAAGCTTGATGGGAGGTGTATTGCGGAAGGGGGATGTGTGCGGAAGCGAGAATACATGTGGCCTGTACGGAGGGCACGTTTCGGATGTGCTGAGGAAGAGCAGGGAGGGCAGAGAAGGTTTTTGTGGCTAGGGGTGCTGAAAATGTATGATAAGGAGGCTGGGAAAGGGTGACAGGGCCTGAACCTTCAAGGTGGGTGGGTGTCCAACTCTGGGAGGAGGGGTGGTGGTGGGGGGTGGGGGCGGGCGGGAGGGGTCACACATCCACTTCCTTGGAGTTGGCTTGATAAAATGGATTGCGGGAAACTGTAGTGACTTAGATCGAGGTGAGAGGTGGATCAGGCGTTGAGGGATGCGAAGGCGTGGCTTGGGAAGGGCGGGGTAGCGTGGGAAAGTACGATGACATGGGAGATTTAAATGAGAGATTAGAGTGCTGCGTCTGTGCACTGGCGGCTTAACTGGTGCGTTAAGCTTTTACGGCAGTTGCCTAGAGACGTTGAATGTGAAGAGGGTGAGAGGCCATCGACGGACAGAGGGGCAACAAGGAGAGTGGGCGGCGACCAGTTCTGGCTGCAGGCCGGCGAGATGTGATGTGTTTCGACTCCCAAGGCGGAATCGTATCGCCCATATCGGGGCTCCGTCTGTGCCCTGCTGTGCTGTGATGCTGTGCTGTGATGCTGTGCAACGCGCCTGTTTTGGATTTTCGGGAACATTTTATGGCGCACGTACTGTAATGCGTGGGACACGGGCTTCCATCGGCTGTACACATCTCGAGATCATACTATCATTTTCACGTTTTGATATAAGGCACGTCACACTTTAATTCAACATTTCCCCAGCTTGTACTGTACACAACGAAGTTCAGCCTCTCCTCAGGCACCTTGTACAGCTTCTAAGCAACAACCACGTCCCTCCCCTATTATTGTCTGTCCATCTGCGGCCCCGCCGCCGGCCTACCTTTCTTCTCTTCTGTACTAGCTAGCTTCTGGACGCTTGTATCTTCTTTCCTTCCCGTCCTCTGCACCCTACAACTGTAATCGCAATCTCCCTGCGTCCGTTCACACACACCCCGTCCACCACCCTTCAGTTTATTCGGTCTCTCCTTTATTTATTTCCAGTGTCCTTTGGCCGAAACGGACTTTCTCTCGATCTGTTAAATCTTAATAGTATATATGGATTATTTATTACGATCCTTTCATCAACAACCACCCCTCGCCATCCACCCGTATTCCCAACAGAAAACTTTCGACAGTCTCCTGGCCCTTCGATCCCATCCAACAGCCAACGAATGTTTAGCCTCCGTTGGATATATAAAGCCTGCAGTTACTTTCTTGATCCTACGAGCACAACGGCGTATATGTCTTCAACAGCACACCCTATTTGCCAACTTCTTGCATGCAACAATCGCCCTGTTGATAAATGACAAATCAGCACGCATCTCGCGACATGAGCAAGTTGGGAGGTGCTATAAGCCGCAGAACTATTGTCTGGAATGCGTAACCTACTTCTTTTATAAAGACCGCGCACACACCTCATGACGCTTAGTGGAAGTCGAAACCTTTCCTCTATCGCAGCTTTTGCAATGATAATAAAGTGAGTTCTTTCTTACATTTCGCATCTGATAGTGGGCTGTCTTCCCTTTTCTGCCCCCAATCATCTACCCGTTAACCTTCCACGCCATCCCTCACTCCCTTGTTCTACTGGGGCTTCTTGTGCATACATTTTATGAGACATCCACCATAGTGATTGTCAATATTTAGAGGTGGAAAACGAGTTCTTCCATTTCATGTCCCGTCTAACTTGACAACCCTTCCTCCGTTCTCAACTGTCCTCATCGATACTTTTTTACTTCTCCTCTCTTACCCCATCCAGCTTCACTCGGGGAAAACGCTTGCTTTCAACCTCCGGAAGGCCAATCACGAGTTTTAATATCCTCATCACAGAAATGCCTCGATCGCCTCGGCCGCATTGCTTTGATTAAATATTTCAACTGAACTTAAGTGTATGTTCATAGTACCTCACAAACGTGAGTCCATGTTCTAGGCCAAACAGACGCATGACAGAGACCGAAACATACTTGTGTTCAATCCAACTCTGTTACCTTGTGTTGTCAAGTAGTCCACTTAATTTTTTCATCTCGATTGCCTCGGTCTGCTTGTATTCGTCTCTACTGCAACTCTTGCGCTGTGGCGAAACTCGTTTTTGGGACACAATTAGAACTCGTCTTTTCCCGTTTTTCGAATATTGAAGCCCCTCTTGCAAGTAAATACCCTATGAGGGAGCATTACAATTACATATCGCTTCAAATGTCAGTGTCTTACATCACCTCCAACATAATGGAATTTCCAGAGTTTTTCGCTATGTGATATCTTCTGGCCAGGGGATTTTCATCTTAGTTGTCCATATCACAGATGGATGATTTTTGAGATTCCGGGAATCAGATTCTGCGATTTTGTCCAGCTAGCTTATTTTCAGGACACTTCTTCGGTTTCGCTGCATAAGAAGATGGAACTTCAAAACGTGTGCTGGAATAAAGGAGTGCAGACCTTTCCTGCGCTGTAATTGTCCTTTTTAGAGCACTTGCAAGCAGGCTATGTCCATTTCTGAAAGATCAATGCGTTGTTTGGTGTACATCTTCATCCAATCTCTCTTCTCTGTGTCTGTATACAGTAACACTCCCTTGTTCGTGCGATCGGATAGTGATATTATTAGTATTCGCTTTCTTTCGATATTTTCCGTTGGTCTTCTTTCGGACCAGTGCTCATCTCTTGCCTTCTTGACAATAGATTCGAATCAGAAGCAGCAGCAATATTTACTGTAGATTCCAAAGAACCTGCAGGAGTGAGCCGGGCTATTCAGTTATTCCTTCAGTACCGATCTCTTGAAACAAGTACCGATCTCTTGAAACAACTCGTTGCAGTTGAACAATTTGCTGAGCAAGCTATGAAAATTTTTTCATGTTAATTGAACCACCCAGACGCGATATTGCCACCAGATTCATCCATAAGGGAGTGATTTGGTGTGGCTAATTGAAAATATTGTGCAGTACTGTCAAGATGAATATTAGGAGAAGCATTGTATCGAAATAGTCGCCTGATTGTTGGTTTAAAATTCCCATCAGAATAGGGAGCACTATGCATCGAGATCGGCCTCTACTCCATGCTCAAATGTGTTGAAGCCTTTTTGTCGCAGAGTGAACTGTTACAGATGATTTAAGAAACATAAAATGTGTGGATCAATATAGAAGCATTATTATGTTAACATGCTTTGGTCACATTTTTACCTATCTGATGGCGTGTGAGCCAAATGTATTGTTGCCTTCATGTGTAGATCTCTGCCTTGGTATATTCAATATAATTGAAAATGCAGCGTTAATATATACGCAATGAATAGAAGACCTATACAAATCGTTTGATTCTCAACCTACCTCCATTTCACCCTCATATATGTTCTCATGTTTTCTTTTTTGGTGAAATGATTTTAAAGATAGCGAAAAGAAACTATTTCACCACTTACATATCAGTGTTTTCAGATCTCGAACTACCTTTTTATTAATAGAAAAGGTAGTTCGAGATCTAAATATTCTTTTATGGTCAGAGTGAGAACCCTTTTAAAGTATACAATGTCGGTTTGTTTGGAGAAAGGTAAGATGTTATTAGGGATTCAATGTAATTGTCAAGTTCCCGCATAATTAATGTAAACCTGTTCCAGTTCTCTCTTCAATAGGCATTTTCTTTAAAAGTTTCTATTTATTAGAAAAGGAACGCCCGCTTGAGCCAAGCTGACGAAAAGTCGCCTTGACTACCTTCAAACTTTTGCCGCATTGCTGGTTGCTAACTGCTCAACCGTCTCATATATTCGAGAGAGTAGTTTTTTAATGCGCAAATTTTCGGGCTGTTTCTTACCCAGCGGATGGCCTCACGAAGATCGATGCCAATCCAGCCCTCATGCAACTCCTACACACACACCTCATTTCACATCCCATTGTCCAGTATGTGATTGAAAAGAAATAGAGCAGCACATTCTCCCCCACGCTCCCTTTCGTGAGGATGTCGGTCGTGAAGGGCCGGATGTGTTAAACAGGCTTGCCCGACACGCCATCCTCACTTTCCCTTGCCCACGCTCACACTGCACTCCACGTCACACGTGTC